TATTAGGCTTTTCTAAGCCTATAAATATGTACCTTTGACATTAGTTCCATATCAATCAAATAAATCAAAGGTTTATAGACACCAACGTCTTTCTCTCGCTTGTGAGTTACAAGCAAAACCCTAGAACAGAGGGAATCTGTTCATCAACGATGCATTCAATCACAATCGTCTTTGCAATCCTTGGGGCCGCTAGCTACAGGGAGGCAATCAAACAGAGTGGCTTGCAGAGAGAGGCAGAGGAGAGGAATGCTCGGTCCTTGGCGTCAAGCTGGGTGGATGCTGGAAGAAAGAAAGACAATCAGCCTGAAAGGAAGGAAACCATCGAGAAGAATATCCAAATTTCACTTCTTGCGGTGGCGGCCATTGCAAGCACCGTCGCCGCTGCAATGGCGGTCTACCGGAGGAAGAATTGATGGAGTTGGAGTGTCTACCGGACGAAGAACTGATGGAAATGGAGTGGAACGATTTTAGAGTAATTGCGAGATCAAGATGATCATTTGTAGAGAATTGTACTGTAAATCCTCAATTCTTTGCTAAAAAGCTGAATAAAATTTGTTTTTTTTCCGAGAAAATCCGTTTTCCTTTCTTTTTCCCGAGAAAGTGTCCATTTTTAGTTGGTTCTGTGGGCCATCTTCTACAACTGACTCAAAAAAGAAAGAAAAAATCTGTAAATTGACTCACAAATCACAATTCAGTAAAAATCACTCAGGGGGTCGTTTGGATGTAGGATTGTAGAGAGTGATTTGTAAGGGATTTTAAAACAATCTCTCGTTATGCAGGATTTTAAAACAATCCAGCGTTTGGGAATGATGAAGGATTGTGTAATTAGTAATTTTAAAAACCCTCATTCGTGGGTTTTAGAAATAGCTGATGGCTATCAGCTATTTCACAATCCCTCGTTCTTATTTCATAATTTCCATACCTTACCCCTCAACTATGTCTTTCGTTCTTCTTCCTTCCTCCTTTCTTCTTCCACCTCCATCCCAGCCCATCTTGAATGGTGTCCGACCTTGCTACTGGTCGAGCTATATCCTTCTCTGTCGCCCTCTACTCTCCGTCAGCCTCTGCTCCTCGTCTATCTCTCTTACTTCCTAGGATGGAAAGAGTACGAGAAAACCCATACCACGAAACCACCATAACCAACTAACCAAGGCGGAATCATCCAAATGGGCCTCGCCGATAATCAACTCTCCTTCGACCTCATCCAGTCATGGCTTGCAAACAACCCCGACCCTGCTTCCTTCAAGCGCGACGGCCGTTGCGTCTTCCACAACCTCGCCCTCTCCTTCTGATATTGAAATTGGAGGCGAAACCCAGAAACGTAGAACGCCACCACCTAGCCTCCTCTGTTACTTATCTTTCCCAGCTCCATTTCCCTAGCACGATTCTTTCCCAAATCTGGGTCTCTCCCCCAAATTAGAAATTTGGATTTTGGGGAAGAATAGTCTGATTTCGGAATTTTTTTATTCAACATATTGGGTTCTATGATTTGGGGAAAGAGAAGTAGAATGTAGGTTTGGAAATTTGGGTTTAACGATGAGAGGAAGGAGATAGGTAGAAGATGAGGGTAAAACTGTAAATTGGGGTTTCTTATTAGAATCCTATGTTTACATCCAAACAAGTGATTTATTAAAATTCCTTATATTAAAAACCTAGGTTTTTCCATTGAGGGATTGTGGGCAAAAACCCAGGTTTTATAAAACACTCATCCAAACGACCCCCAGGGGTCATTTGGATGCAGGTTTTGGGTGTGGGATTTGGGCACAATCCTACATAATGTGGGATTTTATTAAAATCACTCGTTTGGAAAGCAATTATATGATAAGAGATTTTAAATATTAGAGATTTCAGAAACCCACAATTGTGGGATTATAAAATAGCTTATGGTGATCAGCTATTTTGAAATCCCACACAAATTCCACAAATTAAAAACCTGGGTTTTTAAACTAGTGATTTGAGCCAAAATCCCACAAATTAAAAACCTGGATCCAAATGACCCCTCATAGTAAAATTAGGGTGCGTTGATATTGTGCGTTTCGGTAGCCTGAATGGAATCGAGGGTTCTGGTTGGAATCGAGGGTTTCTCGACTTTCTGAGGTCGAGAGCAGCGACACCATCGACAACGCTAAGATCCAAGACAAGGAGGGTATTCCCCTGGATCAAGAGGGGTTGATTGTTGCCGGCAAGCAGCTGGAAGACGCAGGATCTTGGCCACTACAACATCCAGAAGGAGGCGACCCTTGACCTGCTTCTCCGTCTTCGTCGAGGCATGCAGATCTTCGGAAAGATCTTAACAGGAAATGCCATAACTTTGGAGGTTGAGAGCTCCGATAACGTCAAGGTGAAGATCCGAAGAGGGGATCCCACCGGATCAGCAGAGGTTGATTTTCGTCGGCAAGCAGTTGGGGGACGCCTCCACCTGTTCTCCGTGGCTAGCAGGTCTTCTTTAGACTCTGCAGAATCACAACGGTTGCGCCTCTTGTGTCAGTGGGATTCATGTTGCTATTGATTGCACCAATTGTCAGCAGCTGGTTTCCGTTCTTTTACAGCACTTCAATGGCTATTGGCATATTTCTTGTCATCATCATTCTTCTATTTCAGGTATATGGGGTAATCTCAATTCTTTGGTACACTTTTCGTATGAATCCTCACTGTCTCATTCTGTGTAGCTGTTTGTTAGCTTGGATTATCTTCAACAATATGGCTTATGAGTTAAACAACCTGAAGTTAGGTTTTTTATTTGCATAGTTTAGAGTGGAGAATTGTCAGGGTGAGCAGCATCATTCGTCAGATGAATAGCTGAAACCAAATTCAAACTTTGGCTCTTAGGCTTATTGATAGAAACCTGCTTCTAGGGTTCTACCGATTGGATTAGTGAGATTGGGAATTGATAGAAATTAGGTGTTTAGGAGAGGATTTGGGGAAAAGATAGTAGAATGGCCGGCGGCCGAAGCTAGGGAAGAAGACGAGGTTGAGAGAAATAAATTAGGGTTTAGGGAGAGATACTTATCATCCCAGGCGATGTTGCCTTCACAAGGTTCAATGCAGCAGCGGCAGCAGGTCTTAACTTACCGCTCTGTTAACATCTCTTCTCACAACTGCTGCCACATGTTTGCAGGTCTGAACCAACAAATCACGCAATTGTCATGGACATGTATGTGGAGCGATCAGAACTGTGCCAAGGACGAAGAAACAAATCAGGCCATCCTCTTACCACCTTCCTTGTGCTGCTTCATGAAATCTACTATTCATGAGTTGGTAGAATGGTATTGAACTTGATACAGACTGCAAATATTGAATCTGTTGGGGTAGTAGCAGATTGCAATCTGGTCTTTATGTACAAGTATGAGATGCTTCTACTTAACATTCTTAGTGTTGTTGTTTGGAAGGGGTGAAGATAATCTCAGAAACTCTTCAATAGGTTATTGTAGATGTCACTGAAAAGCGGTAGAGAGAAAACCATGGCTCGAAATATTAGGAAAGTATTCACTTTGATATGCTTTCATGATATCTTAGGAAAGCACTCATACTTGATCTGCTTCCCGGTTAATTAACTTTTAAATTTTATATACATGCTGCAGTGATATATCCTTTTTGGCTTTTCAGGTAGATTCCCCAGTACCGCTTCTAGGAAGCTTGGGAACATGCTACTTGATTTTGGTCCTTTGCATGCTTCTTTTAGAGATATTGTCAGTGCTGACCAGGATGCAAAGAGGTGTGTTGTAAATCGATGGATGCTTTTGGTCAACCTTACTTCATGGTTTGTTCTTTAGCTTTAGAGTTCTCTCTGCAACTTCCTTTCTCTGTTTTTGAAAGCTTTGTTCTGTGTAACCTCACTTTTCTCTTCCAGTCGTGTATTCATTATTATTCTAGCGAGTTCAAGTTTCATAGATAGTTTATAACCAGTTTTCATTGCTCAGTGTTTAGGTCTGCACTTTCTACGTGAGGTTTGAAGCCCTTTAGTGGATGGACTACTAGGAAGAGATATGAGGATGAGCCAGACTTCAAAAGAAAATCAAGACTGAATGTTAGAATAGAAAGGGGGAAAGCCTATCATTCATGAATCTCACCTTAGGTTATGCCCTTTTTTTTTTCCCGAAAATTTCCTTGCATGGTTACTCATTTGTGCCTTGCTTTTTATTTGCCATTCTTAGAGTGCCTTCATCTGCCTTTGCTTCCCTTTTCAATTTTTGTGAACTCAGTTATGATGTTCTGGACGCAACTCTTATCTCTCTCTCTATCTTATTCATATGGTTGTCTCCGTTGCTCCAACTTGGTTAGGCATAGCTTCTAATACAACATGTTTAAGCAACATTTATTTTTATCTATATTTTCTATCTGATTAATACACTAGGGGACAGATTGGTTGTGAAAATGATGGGGAAAGCATGTGTAAGCATTTTGCCGCTTCTCTTCTGGGTTTGATGTTGTTCTTTGCGTATTCCATTATTATTGTACTTTCATTTGTATTGTTTCAGGAAGATCAGGCTCCAGCACTGCTATTAGTTAGGCTTTTTTCACCTGTATAGCCTTCTGGTTGGTAGTAGTGAACTGACATATATATTGGTCCTTCATTTCTGCAGGTCAGTCAGCAATGCCAGGACTGCAGCAGTGAAAGCACAATCAAAGTGAAACGATCAGTGTGTAAAATGGTTCCAGAGAACTCGAACCATGTTCGTCTCTGTTTGGTAGGTGACCCTTCTTTGATCAAATGCAGCTTAGTACTCTTATTACTTTATCCTTTCCAAAATACTGCTTATTTTTCATTTCTAATGGACTGGATTGTCTTTATGGGGATCATTTGTTCAATACACCAACTTCTACCCATGTTTCTTCCTGTTCAGCTAGAAGTTTTTATACATAAAATGAGATTCCTTGGACGGACAATGTCGCACGTAAAGCAAAACAAACTCTATAACATAATTGTCTTATTTTACTTTGTTCTGTTCCGTGACTGGACTCGAATTGGTCATAAAAATAAGCTTATATAAAGATAATCAGATAAATGAATGTATATGTGTGTGGGTGACTCAGGTTCTGCACTAAGTTAACTAGAAGCTGCAAGTGCAATGCTTTTCTCATGCAAATTGAGATTCATTTTCTCACTTGTGGTAGTTCGCGTGTTGCTTCTGAATTTTGTGTTTTGTTAGTGCTACCTTGGTTCTAGAATTGTCCATGAATACTACAAACCTTGAAATTCAGGATACTAGTATGCGACGGAAACCTCAGCTCATATTTGGTTTTCAGGAGATGCAACTTCTGAACCTTGATTGAAGTGAAGTAGCTTCTTTTCTGTTTATTCTTATTATTGTGTTTTTAGAATTCTCGTTTCTTTTACTATCAATCCTATCATGTACTCTAATCACATGATCTGTAGCTCTATGATTGTTTTGATCTAAAACTGGGAATTGTTTGGTGACCATAAATTGCAGAGGCATCCAAGGGATATATCATATGCAGCGGCCAGCCTTGATACTTATTCCATCCTATGCTTGCATCAAACTGTTACACATTTCCATTAAGACAGGTGCGAAAAAATGGATTTCATATTCGACGGGGGGCAAAAAAAGGAGAAGGGGATTACATGCATGCATGCTATTTAATTGGTCTAACTATGCATTTTTATCTCTGGTGCCGTAGCATGCCTCGTGTTTTTGGCACCTTATATGGTCGCAAAAACCACTGGATACCATGCCATCATGCTTCACACACTGCATACACCGAACGCATAACAAACAAGGCTCGGTCAGATTAAGAATGCGTAACCCACCCACAAATTATGTGTATATATATATATATATATATATGCAATTTCAGTTGCCAGAGTGTTTCAGGTGCTAACAGGTCATACCTGAATATATCGCAAGTGCAGCCATCGGGCATAAGATAGATTGGTGGCAGGTTCCGTGGAGATAAGAGCTGCACCTGCACGCACCGGAAGATTTAGTATTAGCTAGGGGTTAGGGCCTAGGGAAAATGCTCAAAATCGGAACCCAAAAATTAAAGCAGAATTATCAGTCAGTTACTTAATTTTTCAGAGTTTCTGTACCTTCATTTGCAGCACCCGAACTGGGAGGAGGAGATGTTTGTCGTTTGCACTTTTCTTTGTAGTGAGAATCTTCTTTTCTGTAGAAAGAATCATCTGCAAGCAATCAAAATCAAGCGACAGGCTCAAAACAGGGAAAAGCCACAGGATAGAAAAACGATCGAAATAGAATTCAGAACAAAATATATATTAATTAATATTGGATAACGAAAACAAACCTAGAGAATCGCCGGCGAAACTTGCGAAGCAGGGGCTCACCTCCCCGTTAATCCAGTGATAGAAGATTGATCCCCAGCCGCCGGTGCCGAATTCCCTTTCTGGAAGTTTGATCGGCCAAGTCGCAACAAGGATTGGTAGGATGTCGGCCATTAATCCTGCCTTAATTAATTAGCTTCTCCTTCTAGTACGTACGTTCGCCCACAAAAGATCCCTTTTTCGATCGATGCTTCTTTTCTGACGGTTCCTTCAATTTCGATTCTCTTTTATACTGTTCCGTTTTCCTAACCCGGAACGTAAAAGGTTCGGTTTTTTTTTTTTCGGTACATAAAAAAAAAAGGCTCGGATGAAGCTGTTGATCCGTAACGTTTCTGGCCCTCTGCAGAATTGAGCCCATATAGTCATTTTAATGCTTTCTGGATTATTGAGCCCATCCTGAAGGAATTTGGAAGCGTACGTGATAGGTGTCAATCGGGCGGGTTCGGGCGGGTTCGGGCTGGGTTCAATCGGGTTCGGGTTCAAACGGGTTGCGGGTTAGTCGGGTTGCGGGTTCATCGGGTTCGGGTTCATCGGGTTCGGGTTCAACCGGGTTGCGGGTTAGTCGGGTTGCGGGTTCATCGGGTTCGGGTTCAATCGGGTTGCGGGCAAATCGGGTTGCGGGTTCATCGGGTTTTGGGTCGGGCGGGTTGCGGGCGGATCGGGTTTCGGGTTGTTCGGGTCAGCGCATCAAGTAACTTAACTTATTACCAACTTACACATTTTATTATACTAATTTAAAATATTTTCTCAACATTTTAACCAATTTATTTCTACCTCGTATATATATACTTTATTTTTTTGAAAAAACCTAGTCAAAATGTTAAATCAATTTGTATGAGTTGCAAACTTGTTATGTAATTAATCATAATTGGTAAAGTATTATAGCTAATAGTAATGGTGATATCAATATTTGCAACCAAAAGACACCATTAATTGTTTATTTGATATTTTAGTATTAATTCAGTAGTAATTGAATTAAAGTATCTCGTTTAGTATAACCATGCAAATCTGGTATTTGGCGTGTGGTATTTGGCAAAAGCATAGTGATAAAAGGAGTTATTTCGAAATAACTCATTGCCCAAATAACTTCAGTAAACTGTTGCCAAACGAGTTATTTGTAAAATTGTTCGAATTATCCTAAAAATTGAACCATTAAAGATTAGCTATCAAATTTAGTAAAATTATTGTGACTTCAATCATAACTTACTCAATAGCATATATCATATACACTTAGTTTTACCCTCAATCAACAATATTAAGTTAGTATATGTTGTTGATTGTATACCCTAAACCATCAATACAGTATACACTAACCACATAACCTACACCCTATACCCTAACCATATGTCTTTGAGTTGTGATTTTGCTAGTATAGTTAATTTAAAAGTGAAATTCATACTTTGATTTTCAAAACATATACTGCTTGACCTTGCATCCCACTCCTCGCATACTCCTGTCAAACCACCTGCTCTTGTACAAGCAAGTGCTGCTATATCCGAAACATCCTCATCATCTTTAAGTTTATTTGATTTCTAGAACTAATAGAGCAGGATGACAAGGATAAAGGATCTACATGGCCTCTAGAAACTTCATTGCTGGTGGGTTAGGTGGAAGAAAAGCGAGAGATAAAGGAGAAGAAGGCCAGAAATTAGCTCGCCTCTCATGGTTCATTTTTCAGAGAGGGGAAAAGAGGAATTAATGTACCACATCGCCAGAGGAGGAAGGTTTCTTCTCCAATCAGTTATATAAGAGTATGGGCATCCCTACATTTAAATCAACCATGAGAAGGCCCTCATGTGCGGCCTATTAAATGGGCCGCTACTCTAGGCCTTTTCTTGTCCACCGATGGCTACTTTGTAGCTATCAAGCTAAGGTTGGGTTACTAACACCCAATATAGTGGTTGGATTAGTGGTGTTAAAGAGCTTGATTATCAAGCTGGGCTCATTGACCTCATTGACAGGCCATTTCGAGCTGAGTTCAGCTCAAAAATGGTCTGTTAATAGGTTCATTACCAAAATCGAGCTATGGTATTGGTACGAGCTCATTACCAAAATGGCTTGTTAATTGATAACTTTATTGGATATTTAAATTAACAATAATTTTCATTAATATATTATATTAATATTGTCAATGATCTCAATTATTAATTCTTCATTATTAATATCAACATTGTGATGATTTTATATTTTATATTTAGTTTTTTAATTTTGTTAAAGAATTTAGTGTTCAAGTGATCTTCATGTTTAAAATATATAATATCAAGTGATTTACATATATTTTTTTAAATTCTATATATAAAATGGAAAACATAATTTTACCTAAGTATAGAATAAAAAACTTTATTTGAAAAACTATGTATTATATAATATAATAATAATAATTCAAGTGGATTAAGTGAAGTTGGGGTTGAGTTGGTCGGGTTACGGGTTACTCGGGTTCGGATCAATCGGGTTGTGGGTTGATCGGATTGCGGGTTGATCGAGTTGCGGGCCAATCGGGTTCGGGTTAATCGGGTTGCGGGTCAGTCGGGTTTCGGGTTAGTCGGGTTGCCGGTCAATCGGGTTGCGGGTCGGGCGGGTTACGGGTTGTTGACTTTTAGTCAATTCGGGTTGCGGTCGGGTTACGGATCGGGTTGATCGGGCGGGTTAGTCGGGTCGGGTTCTGTTTTGACACCTATAAGTCAAACCCAAAGTTAGTCAAGAGGGGGAGAAGATAAGGGTGCTAAATGCTAATTTATTTCTTAGGAGGTTAATATTATGCTAATTATCATTAAAAAAAATTATCATTTTAATTTTTTGTTTTTTTATAAATTCTATTAAAGAAAGGAAAAAAATAAGAAAATAAGAGATAAATTAAATATAGAATAGATTCTAGTACAAAATCCATTATATTTTTGTAGCGGGTGAATAAAAGTGTTAATGACTATTATTGCAATAAACATAACAGAGATGGACGACAAGGGAATAGTGATCATTAACAAAAGGGACGGATACGGTGACAACCCTTAAAGGGGTTATCAGATTCACAATTCATTTCATAGTCTTTGGGTACGCTCCCTGTCTCCTGCAGCCGCCTGTCGAGCCTTCTACCTAGGGATGTCAATCCAACCCGTAACCATGGGTACCCTACCCGACCGTAACCGGTCAACGAGGGTAATTACCCGCTTTGACGGGTTAAGGGGCGGGTACGGGTAATACCCGGTTTCAAAATAAAGGGTAGGGTACGGGTATGGTAATCGACAATACCCGCCCCGTTATACCCGCTCCGCTAACTAAAAATTGATTTTCCTAGACCCTAACCCAGCACCCACTGCCCGACCCAGCACCCACTGCCCGACACTACCTAACCAGAAGTGAGAAGACAATCTGGCCAGTGGCCACTTCTCCCCAAGAAGACCCCCAAGTCCCAATTCCCAACTTTGTATCTAACCTAAAATCAAAACCCTATTCCTAAATTGTAAGCTCTCCCCGCCGCCCTCCAGCCAGCCTACAGTCCACGGGGCAACGCACATTTCAAAAGGAACTTCGCCGGCCGCCAGTCCCAACGGCGTCGACGTCGACGTCCGCCCTCGTCCTCTCCCCTGCTTCCTTCCCGGTTCGTGCGCCATTTCCCTGCTACCTCTCCGTCGCGCGTCGTTCCCAGTTACCCTCTCCGTTCGCGCGCCGTTTGCAAGGAACCTCACCGGCCGCACGATTCCGAACGGCGTCGACGCGTCTCCTCTCGTTTCCCTGCCACCATCTCCGTCGCGCGCCGTTCCTCCCGCCAAATCTCCCTCGTTCCAGCGCGCCTGCTCTCCCCTGTTCCTACGCGGCTCGCCAGATCTCCCCTGTTCCGCAAGCATCCCACGACGACAAGCATCAAACAGTAGGGTATTTTTGGCTTGATTCCCTTTGTTTATTAATCTCGCTGTCATGTGTTTGCTTGATTCCCTTTGTTAATTAACGAGAAGTGCCTTATGGGGAGATGATTAATTGAACTGAAGAGTGGTTTGTGGGGCTGTGGGTAGTAAATTGGGGTGGGTGGTTGAGGTGGCAACTGGCATAGTGAAGGAAGGATTCGTTGATTTGGGTTGGGAAGTATATGGGCAGGAGGGGTGGAGTTTGTACTCGGGTCCACTCTGACTTGTTTATCTGGTTCCATAGGGGAAACGGGTTGGGTCAGACTTGCTTCAAAATGAGTCGGCCTGAATCAGACTGTTGGATGGAATTGCCAGGCTTAAGTTCGTATTTTAGGATTCGTACCCATGGTTACCCGAATACCCATGGTTACTCGGTGGGTAGGGTATGGTTATATCATTTTCATACCCGGTGGGTATTTGGTCGGGTATTTTAGGAGGCTCTACCCGGCGGGTTAGGAGTTGGTATAGGGTAAACCCGCACCCGACCCTACCCATTGCCATCCCTACTTCTACCACCACCGTCTCCGCCATCCTCAGCCTCCCTCCACACCCTGTTGTTGCAAATCTCTCCCACCGCCCCGTCGCAACGTCTGCCTCCCACCACCGCGGCACAATCATCCTCTCCCCTTCGTCCCCCACCACTGCCACTGTCGCGACGCGAGGTAACCCTCTCCCCTCTGTCTCTCTCTCCCGTCACCAACTCCCATTTTCTAGATCTGGTTTTTTAGTGGTACTATTTTTCTTCTGGTAGCGTACCAGTGATAGTGGTACCTACCACTACCATAAGGTAGCTGGTAGTGGTAGCGTACCACTACCATCTGGTACCACTACCATATGTTTTTGTGTGTTATTCTCTACTGGTACCGCTAGTCCGCTACCAGTGCTAGTGGTACGATACAATATGGTAGTGGGAGCGCTATAATGGTAGCATACCACTAGAAAAAAATCATTACCAGTAGACTAATGGACTGGTACACTTTTTAACGCACTGGTACATTTTTTTCAGGTTGCCGGAGGGAGTCTGCCGGAGAGAATTCGTCGGTGAAAGTCTGCTGGAAGGATTTCACTGGAGAAAAGGTCTGTCGGTCGATGCGGAATGGCCGCTAGAGAAAGGAAGAGAGAGAGATATTAATGTATAGGATTTAAATTTTAAAAAAACTTGTATTTAATATGGGTTTTTAATTCCCAATATAATTAATACAAAAAGGTAATTAATATATTCCTTTTTTTCATACCCAAAATGTCATTGGTTGTCAATCTGACAACCCCCTTAGGGGTGAACTTGACAAAAGTGTAAAGTTAGTACAATATAACCTCTTTAATATAAATTAATAATTTTTTC